CCCCAACCCCCAAACCACATTTACACTTTTCTACCAGATGTTAGTATCGCAAACATACGAATGTAACATTAATTCGTAAACATTAGGTTAAGTGTTTGGAATTCAATGAAATATTTTATTTTGCATGCATTATCTGAACGGGACGAAATTTTTTTTCTTTCGTTGTTAATAAATTTTTTTTTGCTTACGCGTAAAAGTTTATATAGATGATAATTCTAGATGAGTGCCTTAGCGACTCAGTATAATGAGGTATAACTTTTTATATGTAATTACTTTTTGTGGGGTTGAAATGAAGTTTTGTGCCGCGGGCGCAGGTTAATGCTGATCCGTTTTACTTCAATCTATAGAGCTTGAATTAATTTTATAAGCATTTGAATAAAACATTTAAAAGTTGAGATAGAATAATTTCTATAATATACTGGTAACATAAATATCCATAGAGAATGAATTAAAATTCGATTTGATTTTTACCGTTTTGATAAACTGAATTTTGCATTTATAATTTCGTGCAATAGAAATATTAAATTTATTTTATATAGCAATATATGTTTTTTCCCGAAAGCTCTGTAGATTTTAGTAAAATGGCAACATTTTTGCTTTTTACTTTGGTAAAGAAGTCAACTAGCAGGGGATGTCATCTCATGTGAACATGTTTTTTCTCCCGAATGAATTAAATGTTTGTTAATGTATTGATCATCCATTAGACGGATGATGAAAGATGTGATCATAAACGTTGCAATGTTTTTTACGATTTAAATAACATAATTTAAAGGCAATCTTTGCAATATTTATTTTTTTATAAATTCGAAAGAAGTACAATATAGTAACTTTTATTTATTAGAAAGATATTTATATGTTTTTATTTTAAGTGTACATCCACTTATATGGATGGACTGAAAACGTTCGGTTTTTTTCCATTTTTATTTATTTCCCCCTTTCTCGCGTATTGTCTATGCCTATGCATAATTCTACTAATGCGCTTTTGTCATTTACTTTGCCATAGATAAAACTTTCTAAAACGGTTAAGTTTTCTTACAATAACTTAAGCTATGTAACGAAAACAGTGTGTACCTATTAACTTACCTCTAATTTAGTTAAATTTTAACATAGACTGTACATATAATTTAATTTCTTATTTTGTTCAGATCTCTAATAAATATGTAAGTCTATAATTATGTTTGTTTATTTCATACTCCTGATTATCTGCGAAATTTTATCATAAAGTTAATTATGAAAAACATAATAAACGACTACTCTAAGTTGTTGTAAAGTTTGATACCAATTCTAACCTCTATGCACCTTTCACTCTAAACTTTGCAAATTCAGTCATATGCATACCAAAATCTTCGCTATTTTTATGTCAGGTTTGTACAAAAACAATGCTAAAGCATTATACTAAACAATTTGTCCCAAGGGTATGTAAAATCAATACTAAAATATATACTTAATAATTTATATTGTTATTGTATCTTGTTTTGTCCATCCTTCCGCTAAGTGATCTCTGACAGCGCGGTCCAAAATAACCTGAAATAAAAAAACTAGGTGATTATCACCCAAACTTTGATATCCATCTCAAGAAATTCTCTTTATAACATTTTTTTTATTACATAAAATGGCAAACGAGCAAGCGGCCACCTGAATCCGCCAAAATGGCGAAGCGACTGCTGCCAATAGACATCTGCAATTGCAGATGCGTCGCCTACCCTTATCCGACGGAGGAGGAGACGCACATAAAGAGGATATTCCCTCTTCCTATGCATCTCCTCCATCGTCAAATCCACTTCCCCTTCCCATCCTCTCATAAGAAAAGGATGGTAAAGAGAAAGGGACTTAAATTAGGCCTCCAGCACCACACTCATAAGACGAAACACGACATTGGTTCCATTTGACGCCTGTCTTCTGTGTGGTTGTGGTATTGACACACACTGCAGTGCTAAGATGTTAAAGTGGGCACTACCACTATTAAAGCTTAAATCTAATTTTATAAGAGAAGGGAGACAAATGTTGAATGTTACCTCAATATCTCTGCAGCCCTGCATAGCTCTACTCATAACCATATCATAGTAGTCCATGTGCAGCTTGTGTGATAGTTCCAATAATGCTACATTGCCTGAAATCATACACTAAACTTCAAGAACATATTTAAAAATAGATGATTTTACTGTTATCCATGCCATGTCATAAAATGTAATCAAAACTAAAAACTAAATAATGCTATGGCTACTACGTTGCTTAAAACCAGACATTATTTTGAGAATAAATCGACAAAAATGATGGACAGTCAGGTAATATGGCAGTTTACAAACTTAAAAATAATTGCTCAATAGTACATGGCTAATCACTTTTCCCGTAATTGTCCAACTCACTGCTAATTAGTTAATTGTAAGAAGAGAAATTGTAATATTTCTGTGAGTGAAATACTGCAAATATCCACGACTGTACATATAGGTTTAAAAATATAAAACAATGAGCTTTCGTCAGTAACTCCGTCCGCGTGGAATTAACAAAAATAAGTAAGTAGCCTATGTGTTCTTCCAGACTATGCTCTAGATCTATGCCAAATTTGATGCAGATCTGTTAAGCCGTTTAGGCTACAAACTCTAACAAATCCATCTATCTACTTTCACATGTATAATATTAGTAATAAGACGATAACATATAGCAAATTCATCAAATTTGCCATTTGTGCTAACCTGTGGAAGGTAGACTGGATACAGTGAGACAGACCCCACCAGCAGCTTCCTCTACATGTCCGACGTCAACTAACGGCTCGGGTTTACCAGCATACCATGCCATGGAAGCCGTGCACGCGCATACATACGCTTTCAGCGGTATTCCCGCGTCGATCAGTGCTAATGTGCCTGCGTTTACTGATGCACAGTACCCTCCTCCATCTGCCTGGAAAAATGTTATCTTACTAATAAGGTTTTCAAGTGGCGGCTCGGAAAATTGGACAACTGGCTGAAAACACATCTTTTGGTATATTCTGGTATATGATTTATGTTTAGCTACAATGTATGGCATACAGCGGATCTTGAATTACCAAAATTTTTGAAATAACCCTTGTATTTGTTTGTCAACTCTCAACCCTAAGTTAGTTATGACACCTTAGTCTTACCTCATTGGCCTGGTACAATATTTCTGTATTTAATTATGATGATGCTATCCCATACAAGATTATGCTTTTACAGTTTTCCAGTGCAGAAATACTAGATTACAAAACATTTATTTCAATACTAGCTTTCGGCCGCAACTCCAACCGCGCTGAATTAAAAAAACAAAAACAAATGCCTGTGCCTATGTGTTCTTCTAGACTATCTTCTACATCCATGCAAAATTTCATTGAAATCCATACAGCAGTATAAGCTACAATTTCAAACATCCATCCATCCATTTAAACTTTCACATTTAGAATATAACTTTGAAGAATGATTTTAAAAGAACAAACCTGTAAAACCTCTATATAAATATCAATTTGTGAACGGGGATAGAGTTCTGTTTTGATTGCTGCTGTGAATGACTGTCGCAAATGTAGAGACATCTCTTGTGATTTCCTATCTCCTCTAGGACGGTTTTTCCTTTCACCTGGGAAATAAAAATATAACATTTGACAAGGACACATATAGCCGCAGACAAATATATGAATATGAGCTAGAAGGACAAAAGAATGAGCTAAAAAGCTTGACACATTTGATTCCACAAATGTGTAAAACCTGGGGAGCATCAAAATGATCATTTTCATAATTTTTATAAAAGGTGTATAATTTAAATCACTAAAGTTTATTTTTATTTTACCTGTAGAAAATGTTGCCATGCTGTATTGACAATTAACAACAACACCTTCTGTTGAAGTTTTTGATTTGCTTGCCTGAAATAATGAAAATAATAGACATTTGCTATAATGTAACTAATATTGATAAGCATTGATTAGATTTAAATTACTAACGTTTATTTACACGTTTTTCATGATTTTTACCTGGTGTGGACCATATACAGCAGCTAAAACTTTAGTATTGCCTTGTTCTAAGTAGGCACTGCCGTCCGGTTGTGTAAATACGCCAAGTTTACATCTTATTCGACGGAGTTCGTTTGGTCGTCTTCCATCTAATCGCAAACCTTGGCTAGATAGTAAATCCGGTCCAGGCATTTTGCTATACTTGTATTTCACTTACTCTTCGTTTCCTGTTATGCAGTTAAACAAATTTGTTGTAACTATTTACTAGTTTTTATTTTTGTAACACCTTTTAGGTTATAATTATGTCGGTCGCGTTTTGAGTTTTTGTTTGACATTTCTTTATTTTGGTTACATTCATAGACAATTAAATGTAAAGAGTATTATTGTATCGATATTCTAAACTTCGCAAAAAAATTTAATGTATTAGATCAAATCTGAAACTAGAACCCAATGTTACACTTAAAAGGGATCAGGATTAGTTTTTAACATAGTCTAAGCATTCTAGAACATCAATTCATTGTTTTAATATAATTAAACGTCTAAATAAATATCTGTCTAGGAATAGAGATATAATCTGGAAGAAATGTTTTATTTATAATCTGTTTATCTCGATGTGTATGTGTTTCGTGCGCTTCGTTTTTATATTATTTTATTGAAATATATTTAATTATTGCATAGATGAAATTTACAGGTAAATAAGAGAACATCAACAATGCCAATTTGGTTATTCACGTGTGTTTATGTTTCCTGCACTATTTCGAAATTGTAATCAATTGATGGCCATTGTCAGTTTTCTGTCACCCGGCCGTAGTAAAATATTCATACATTCCCAAAAAAATGTATCATGTTGCAAAATATACGTAGTTGATAACTTAGAATAACATAAACCAATCATTTCCATGATACATATATAAAATTTGTTACTTATTTTTATAATGTTAAATTAATTACTTATTGATTTTTAGATGTGAATGATCGCCTCTTTGATCCCGTAATTGGCTGAGTACATTGGGCCACAATGGACGTTGACGATTCGGCAGTTGATCTTAGCGTCAGGTAATATCTTATGTACTCTTAGTACATAAAACTTAATTTGTATTATAAAATTTATGATAATTACATAGATTATATTTATATTCAAGTAATTTAAAACAATAACTTTACCATATGTTATAGTTATTTATTATTGTATACTAATATCTAAACATTATTTTCTTGTATTTGCAATGTTTTTGTTTATTTTATCTTGCTGATTATCTTTTTTATTGTTTTTTAAGATCATAAACATATTCTCTAAGTTTAATATCAATATAATTCTATTGCAGTTTGAATCCTCACAAGTTATTGTACTATATAATTAATTTCTGTTGTATGTATATGATAGTATTTTTTTTAATTTGGTATTTCAGATCCTTGCCTCCGGAATTAAGTGAACTGCGAGCTCTTACTGCAAGTGGACTAACTATAACTCCAGCACAGCCTCCTCCACATGTAAGTTTATTGCATATTTTGTACATCTTTATCTAATAAACTGTATGATCCTGAGATAATATACATTTGTATAAATAATTTAAGTTTGAATATCTGTTCAAAAATATATCATTCTCTTTATTTCATAATAATTTTTTAATACTTTCATGAGGAATTATAACATGTAATAAGAGTGACTTTTCTAGCATTAATGTGTTCATCCATAGCTTGAAATGTAACACTACAGGAAAAAGAGTGTTCTTTAAAAGCATTGCTCCTTTAAATAAATATATGGAAATGTGTTTGTTTTATTTCAATGCTATTTAAGAGTGTGGTATAGAATGCTTGTAATTTGGGGCAAAGTGAGAATAATTCCAAATATGTAAATGTTTTTGAACTAAAATGTATGAATATTGTAATTGGTGTTGTCAATAAAACTTTTATTTTGCCTTTTAGTGGGTTAAAAATGTTGACTTTGTAGTTTTTTGGCTGGAAAGCTGTAATGTAGACTATGGTTATATTATTGGCAACACTGATTCTAACTATTATACCTTTTCATTTATTTACAAATGTTTGTAATGTAAAATTTTGTTTTTTTACAATCAACGGAAGATTGAGAAAGTATCTGTAAGTATTTAAATCTAATGTATTTAACTGTTTACATTATTACTTATGACAGTAATCATAGTATGTTTAGTAGATTTTAAAAATGTATAAAAAATACACCCTATGTTTCTCACTAATAACAAAGCTTTTTAATGTTGAAAGAATTTTTGAAATTAGCCCAGTAGTTTTGGAGTTATTTCAATACATACAAAAATCCACAAATCCTAAAATACAAATCTTTCCTCTATATAATATAAGTAAAAGGAGCTGTCGCCCGCAAACTTCGTTAGCACAAATTTGGACCACCCTTTACGCTATTTTGTCTGCGAGGAAATAAAAAAATAGCCTATAATATGCCTATCCATGACAGCTACCCTCCAGTGAAAGTCCCGTCGAAATCGGCCCAGTCGTTTTCAAGATTGCCCGGAACAAACGCCTCTTGCGAACACACAGACAGACAGACAAAAAATTTTTAAATACGATTTTCGTTATCAGCAACGCAAATACATCATCTTCCCGAAATTTGGAATTTTTCTTTTGGTATTACAAACAGACACTCCAGTTTTATTATATGTAGATATAGTAGTAGATAGATATAGTTTTATTTTGCTAATGTCTAAAACTGTTTAATCTTGGCTTTGTTATTTAGGTTACAAGTCTGTTATCTCGAACATAAATTATATCCAACAAGGTCACGTCATGCAAACTTATTTATCCATTATGTTGACTTATGATTCTCATATATGTCTCAAGTATGTGAGAATTTTGATTATTTTCCTTCTATTGTATGTAGTTTGAGTTAACTGTGTATTCCCTTACTGTATTTTCGTAAATTAAATTCTAATTAAACGAATGTTATTTACAAGCTGTTGCTCTCGACTTCGTCCTGTAAAAATAGCCTATTTTACTCACTGATAACATAGCTTTCTAATGATGAAAGTTTTTTGAAATCGACCCTAAAGTCTTTGTTTTGGGTTACATACAAAAATACAAATTACACACCTTTGACTAAACTATCGTACAACTGTTGTGCGATTGTCGATTGTTTCGCTGCCAATCCAACTGTTTAGTTGCACAACTGAAAATCAAATAGAATGCACACATCCATAGAGGCTTTTATGGTATGAATCAAAGCGCTACTAAACAATAGTGCGATAGTTAGTGTTTTGATTTTGACAGTGGTCCAATAGTAAGTAAGTGGAATACTGTGTAATGTAAGGTTTTATAATATGTAGGGTGCAAGTGGCAAGCGAGTGCTCCGGCCACGGTCAGAGCAGCGTAGTTATGCGGAGAGCCCTGACATAGTATTGCTGCCGGCGGCGCCTCCGCACCGCAAGCCTAGCCTGCCCGCGCCCGCACCTTTCTCAGGTATACCACTTTTCATTTAGATCATTTATACGTAGAAATACAGATAGAAATGTGAAGGTCATGAGAATATGGGGTACTAAACAAAAATACAAGAGATAGGAAGTAACAGTGCAAACAATAATTTCGGATATCTATGGCCAGTCGCTTCGGTATTTCGGCGGATTCAGGTGGCCGCTTGCTTGTTGGCCACCTTATAATAAAACTCTACCTTTTGCCCTCGACTTCGTCTGCGTGGAATTAAATAAACAAAAGTCAGTAGCCTATGTGTTCTTCCAGACTACATCCATGCCAGATTTCGTCGAGATCCGTTCAGCCATTTAGGGTAAAAACTCTAACAAACATCCGTCTATCCATTTACACTGTCGCATTTATAATATTAGTAAGATTTAATAATGTAATCCGCAATTGCGAATGTGTTGCCAACCCTTAATTGACGGAAGAGAAGACGCACATAAATAGGATTCATTCCATTAGGATCACTTACTTATAAGAAAAAGGGGTGGGAAGGAAAAGTGGACTAAAGTTGGGCCCGGTCCCACTTCACATTTGTCTTCTGTGTGGTCATGGAATTACACCGGGCGAGCCAACTTACAAGTGCGAAGATATTAATGCGGGCTCTACCACTATTATGACTACATATGATTGTGTACAGATGTGAGCAGCAAGTTGAACGCGAGCGTGAACGTGTCTATAACGCCGAGCGCGCCGCCTGCGCCCGCGCCCGCCGCGCCGGACTCCCCGCACCAGCCGCGCGAGGACGACTCCGAGGACGACGAGAATGAGCCCCCGCTGCCTCTCGCCGCGCACGCTGTACGTATACGCTATATCATATATCATATCATATATCATATCATATCATATCATATCATATCATATCATATCATATCATATCATATCATATCATATCATATC